AAAACATGATTCCTTCCTGTTGAAATATTTTCCCCTGTTTTTTTTGGTGAAAGTTCTCTTTTATTTTGAACACCAGCTGCAGTTGGATCACTCTGCAGCACTGCTACACCCCCCTGTCCTTGGGAAGTTTTCTCCATGCAGTCTGTGCACTTGGGAATGTCCTGAGAGCTGCCAGGGTCCAGCTGGGGAGCAGGCAGTGTAACACACCCCCTATTCATGGGAGCATCATTTGCAAACCACTCCTGGTGCAGATCAGGTGCCTTTGGCTGACTTTCTGCTTCATTAGCTCGAAGCTGATTGGCAATGCACTCATTCCTTTCCAGGATTTCAGAACACATCCCCATTTGACTTTCTAGTGATGAAGAGGTGTCTGGGAGCTTGGCAGGGAAACTTCTGCTCGTGCAGGCCCCACAGGTGCTGGTCTGCAACTTCACTAACTGCCTGATCTCATCCTGAATCAGCTATAGGAAAACAAAAGGCAAAACTCCTATGAAATTGTGCCATAAATCACACTTATATTTTGATGCATCTTCAATTCATGGCATTAGTGAGAGAATCACAGTACTTCTTTGAAATAACCAAACATTTTCAATATGTAGACATCTCATGCATAAAGTAGATCTATGCATACTGTGTGGAAGAGTAAAATGTGCACAGAAACAAACCTTCATTCCATGCAGTAAATTACAGATCTCAGGAGTAATTTTATTCATGTAAAAAACCCATGCATGCATGTATTTAGTACACACCTTCAAACTGCAGTTATCAACAGCCAGCTAAATACCTATGTCATCAGAAGTGGACAAAAGTGTTTTGTTCAATTTAGGTCTAAAAGAATTTATAACTTGATATACATTTTTACAGACTGCAAGGATTCTTTAATGGAAATACAAGCAATCACTTTATTACACTAATAGGAATAATGTACCTCTGTAAGATTATTTGCATAAAATTTTACTTTAAAATATCTGCTTTAGATAATATGGTATTAGTTAGGTCATATAATACAAAAATCTACATTTTGATTGATTTTGTGTCTGATGGGGGAGGGGCAAACTATAACTAGATCACTAGATTTAACAGGTTACTTCCTCTTCAGCCTACAGTGTCTGTGAGGAGTTAGTTCAGCACATGAGGTGAATAATACTTGAGGTTTAAGTTTTACAGTTGTGCACTGGTGTATTGAAACAGCTCTGAGAAACAAGTACTGCTTTTGTTCTGAGAAAGGAACTGACTTGACCTTGGAGCCCTTGACTGTGTCTTCTGGTGACCGACCAGCACCTCTGCAGTGACACTGAGCTGGTGAATGAGCACACAACCCTCACCACACCTTACAAGACCAGAGCATATAGTTGTTCTCAAGGACAGCCTGCAAACTAATTCCCTCAGAAAAAAACAAAACAACCAAAAAACTTTGCAATCATTTTAAGAACATGAAACTCTACTCGTATTTTTTCACAGAACTACAGTAGATTACTGACAGACTAATAGCAAGCAGAAATGAACAAAAATAATTTGTTCTGTGGCAGAAATAAAAATCAAACTTCATTTCAGGGGCACCTACATGTCACGCTAGTCAGACCCTGGCCTCATATGTTTTACTAACTTGCAATAGAATTAACAATCTCATTTCAGATCAGCCTTTCAGTGGAAAAAAAAAAAACAAACAACAACCCAACAGGGATGAAGTTTTCTGCCATAATACAGTTTTTTGTTGTGCTCATGTTTTCAGCATGACTGCAGCAATCATTTCTGTTTGAATTCTGTGACTCAGCTCTGTCAAGGAAGGCAGCAAGAGGAGAACAAAAGGGAAGAAACAAGGGGGGGGGGGACCCAACTGATCGGATTCTCTGCTGACATTTAATCTTTGTCATTAATACCTTGTGTGACAAAAGTAAAAGGCTGCTGTTCTGATTAAATAGCACTTCTACTTCTCTTTGCATAATCACAAGTAGTTCCAAGAGGAAAAAAAAAAAAGACCTGGGTAAAATGTTTCTAGAGTTTTGGGATTGTAGGCAACTTCTTTTAAAATCCTTTTAAAAAAAGTCTGATCCCATGATGATCCACAATGGTGATAGTTTGTCATGAGAACACTTGTCTTCTAGTGTATAAATCACACAAGCCAACAACTGATCCCACTGATTCCAAAATGAACTCGAGGTCTTTTGATCCATATTTTCATATGAAGATATATTTTTATGAGCACAGCTGGTCTAGAAACACAGCACAGTGCAAGCCTGATCTCAGAGTCACTTCAATGCTGATGCAGCATTTTGCTTTTCTACCCCAAATAGTAAATTATTATTTGTCTCTTTTTATTATTCTCACTCAAATGTGCTGGGTTCCCTCTATTTCAGTACATGCTCTAGGCCCTGGCATGCTAGTTTCTCTTTGGAATAGCACCATCTCTTTCATCTAAAGCACTCATACAACTGAAAGTAAGTTATAGCTGTTGATTTTCTATTTAATGTGGTAATTCATGCAGTTAGTAAATCCCTGCTGGTACCACAAACCCAACTCTTCCAGAGGTAGCCTTTCCTATTAATACAGACAAAAACTGGCAAAGCCAACACGATGGATTAGTCAAGACTACAATTTGAAACAACTGAATCAAACCACTACAGTAAGAGGAAGGAATGATGAGGGTAAAGAAATGCTGATGGGACAAAAATAATGAGATGGGAGGGAGTGAAAAAAGGCAAGAGGGGTGGGGAGAAACAGGAGATAGGATAAAAGGACAGTACCTCTTTTTAATTCAGTTCAGGAACTGCTGATTACTACTAGTGTGGAGGGCATCAGGAAAGGGAAGGGAAAAACAGCAACCAAAATGATGAAGATATTAAGCATTTTATATTTATAGAATTACATAAATACACACATATTTCTTCAGTTTTAATTGAAATATATGGCTCAGCAAAAAAAGTGAATCTTCACGTGACTCATTTTTCATTCTTACAAGGGAGACTGTTCAACTGAAGGGTGAAATAAGCGTTCAGTGGATGTTTTCCTATGCCATCCACTGCATAGATGAGGGAATGACAAGTTGCATAACATTTTCTGATGGAAAGAGAACTACAGTGCTTCAAAATTAGAAATAATGCCGTCTAACAGTTCATTAAAAAAAGCTGGTACCTACAAAATCCAATTATTGTGTGGGCATTCTGAACCAAATGTTTGTGAAACAAAGCAGTTGGAAACAAATAATCCAAGGATCTTCACTTCTGGATGGGTTCCTACCAGTTAGTTTATAATTAGCCAAGGCTGTCTCAAAAATGCATCCTGTACATTGACATTCCAGCCATCCTCTTCCATTAACTGCTGTCTGAATTTACTTACAGGAAAAGACAGGGGTGCCAGAGACCACACTGCATTGTTTTGGAGGAGGGTTGGGTTCAGGGGGCAGAAAAGAAACATTCAGCCTAACCTACCTACATGAACAAATTATTACTTACTTGGATTTGATGGTGGAACTGTTCTTGCTGGGCAACTATTTGTTCCTGACATTGTTTTTCTACCAGTTTCAGTAACTGTAGCCACCTTGTCTATGAAATCACAAAGTAAAAGAATTAAAGCACAGTCATATTGCATCTCTTACCTTTATTCTAGCTACACAATTATTTTGTATTTTTATGCTTGGGTGTGAATATAATACAAAGTTAATACAAGCACTGTCAGTCAATGGAAACAATTCACTATGGACACATTCACTTAAGAAAAGAGACAGCAAGATATCTCATCTCTACAATTTAAGTTAGGTTTAAAAAGAACCCAAACAAACAAATTAACAAAGAGAGTTCTTCTATTAAAAAAAAATCAATCAAATTACACAAAAGTAGAAACAGTTGACAGGAAAGTACACTCAAATTTTGGAAAGGTTGATTCCAGTTCAATAATTTATAAGCAATTTTAAAATTTATAATTAAACATCCCTAAGTCCAGTGAACTATTCACTTCAATAAGAAACTCTTCAGCAATCTGGTCACAATACATAACTACTCAGTGTCAATAAAAATACAAAGCATTCCTAAAATATAGTAAAATATGAATTTTAAAACCTATTTTATGCTCATGTTCATGGAGCCTGACACTTGCAGCACAGGACACGGGACATAAGAGGCATGTGCCTAGACTGAGACATCTATATTCTTTTCTTGGAGCTGTTAAAGAGCACCCAAATTAAGCATCTGTCAAGAGACAGTTTGATGGACCAAAGCCAGAAAGCTCAAAAATTCTGCAGGAACAAGCCCATGGTGTGGAAACCTGATGTTCCTATGGAGACTAAAAACAATTACAAAATTTTAAGTAAAAAAAGACAACAAAAAAAATTGTTAAAGGGTTTGAGAGAATTAGCTCACTGAATCTACATAATGATTTTGTAATTTAAAATTTATCTACAAAGCTAAGATATTGAAAAAAGCTAAAATAAATTGGCAATAAAACCCATCCATGTGATTAGTTCACACATTGTAATAGGACCTGTCATATCATGAAGAATAAACAGGCACATCTATAGATCTTGCTTGCTAAACTGTATCAGCATTAGATTTGTCTTCCAAAATGCAAAGCCAATACAATCATCTACTTTTTAAAAATAAACCTTAGCATCAAATACCTCACAGTTCTTCACAATTTCTGAGTCAGCATTTCCAACACTCTGGATATCTCGCACAAAGGAGGCGAGGAGCTCGACAGCACCAGGCATTAATGAGGACCTGGTGTTCCCTGAGTAACCACAAACTCCATTGGGATTGGATGAGGGACTTCTAGGGAAACATGAGGAAAAACATTTCAATTATTGATGGTGTCCCTTGTCCACCCAAGTGGCCAAATTAATATCCTACACATGCTTTGCAGCCATAAAATATGTATACACCAAATTTACACTGTGACTCTCATCAGGCTGGAAAAAAAAAAACACCTGACACCTTCAGAAGAATGAGGATGTTTTTCAAGAAAATGTCAGAGTCCACAGCACATTTCACTCTTCTCCTACACACTGTGAAAACACAGTAGCTTTCCAAGAAGAGAGGCAGCATCACCAGCACAGCTATGACTGTTCACTAGTACAAACAGTACAATAAATACAGATTTTCATCAAACATATGTGCTTCCTCACAGATCCTGAGGTCAGAAGCTTCTGTGTAACAATGATTCATGCAGCCCAAGACTACTGCCTCCTTTTGAGAGGTTACACATGCAACTTGAAATTCTCAAGAAT